TTCGTCGGTGCTCTCTTATTATCAGTTAGACACCGTGTCCCAGCCTTGATGAAACTTAAGGAACTGTTAAGGGAACATATCTCCCTCGAAACACGACAAATAAAGATGCTCTCGGAACTTCGACATGAAAATAAATCGAAATGAATGATCGTAAGCCCAAGCCTACGTTATCAGTATTATCCTTGTAATTTTGTTATTCCCGTCATTGGCAGCACGATCGGTGATACGTGCGATTTTTTGAAAAATTCCTGTTGTGGAGCTACTTAAATCCAGATAGAATGGAAAAATTTATTTTTTATATGAGCTGTCGAAAGTACGCTGTTTGTAAAGAGTTTTTCACTAATTATGAAAATCTAGATTACTGCCATTGCTATCGAATAAATTTGGACAGTCAACATATTAACACTCATCTGTCCCTTGTGTCAATTTAACACATTTATCTTCTTATATTCTGGCATGTACGTGTAAATTTAGTTGAGACTCCGAGACTTTAAAGTATTTGCAAATTTCACTATTTATCTCTTCAATTATATTAATTTTATACCACTGTGTTATTTTGACACCGAGGAACAAATTAATTTGGGAAAATGAAGGACGTATGGGGGTTAAACTAACAGTTACAATGTTTCAAGGGCACCCGGTCACAATTTCTTCAAGTATGAAATCTTGAAAAGTTATAATTTCCAAAATTATCTATTAACACGTTCAGTACCATATCCGACTTTACTCGCATAAGCATTTAGTGCCCAACTATTCTAAAACCTATCGAACAAGATCTGCTGCAAAAATCCTAAAATTCCTAGTCCTGAAATTAAAATCCCTCAACAGACTTCCTAGGTACAGATTACGTTAAGAAAAGTTAGGAAACTAGAAAAAGCAGGAGGTCACCATGAGGATCAGTAGGTTGAATCAGAGCCCCACCCAAAAGAAAAGATCGCGCACTCGAGTACCACTCACAGTCCGGGGTTCCTCTTTTTCCACGACTCCTGCAATTCTCTGATCCTATTTTATCACGATCGAGGGGAAAAAGGCCGAGTAGAGCGTAAAGAACGACGACCGTTAATTCCACCAAAATCTTCCGCAGCTTTTAACCAATAGGAGTATTTAACCAACGAGTGTTGATCCCTGTAAACTTTCAGAATTATCGGTCGACAAGCACCGGGGGCGCAGCAAGGGAGATTGAGGAGAAGGAGGAGGCGCCGTTGCTCGTTTGGTTACCTAATTCCGTTCGAAGTTAAATTCCCTCCCTGCGCGCCACGTTCAAAGTGCATTCAGCCACCGTGCGGTGGGGTTCGCGGCAAACGGGTCGGGGGAGATCCATCTCCGATTCAGGTCAGATTTGTTGGGGTAACAATACGCACGCACACCCTCTCTCACGTTCGCATAGTTCTATTCGCTCGTTCTGTCATGCATCAAAATTCCTTTGTGTCGCGGGCATTCTATTTCCCTGGTAACTCTCCCGCCTTCCAACCGCGAACTTACCGCGAAATTGGTGGAATATTTTCGTTAACGAATTTGATAATTACAAGCGACGACGACCGGACAAAGAGTCTCCGCGGACTCGGAGAGCCATGGGAAAACGATGCCACGCGGCGAACAATAAACATTGTTTCGGGGGAATGGAAGTCAATTCTTTTAAAATGAATCGAGGAAACGTTTGTGGAATGTTATTACGACGAGTTGAATGTTATAGCTCGTAACGGTGTGTACGGTCTGGTTGGCAATTGTGGCAGTTGAGAATCGATATTCGAGTCTCGATGAGTGCGACATACTCAAGTCCGCTTCGAAGCATTCGTGGCAAGGCGGAAAGGTTTTCAGCCCATCATTTTCTTCTTTACCCGAAGCCGACTCTCTGCTTAACTTTTGTTCACTCTGTTTTCAGTGGTGGGAATAACGACGTTACTCGTGTCGCATTCATCGAGGAATCACTGTATTGTGATTAAAATAAAAAATAAACCACATTGTTTCTAAGGAATATAACCTATCCTTTTCTGGAGAAACATTATTTCTCATCATGATTTCAGACATGGCATACTTGTTCCGTTTTTATTTTAACCACAATACATAAAAATGAAAAACTCTAGTGTGGTTTTATAGTTATTAAACACAGTATATTTCTATCCGAGAATTTTCGACCGAACCTAGCGACGGAATGTCAAGTGTACGATTCACAGCGAAGCATTTAAACCTCCCGCGCTATAAAGGGGGCAGCTTTCTGGCAACTGGCGAGTAGCAAGTTTGCCGACTAACGGCGGGGGGTGCCCGTGTAATCGTGACGCTATCAGGAAACGTAACTCGGCGGCGTCGGAACCCGGCTCAATTAGCCGTAGACCCAGACAGGGGTGTCTTCCCCTTTCGCGTTATCCGCGCGTCATCCGCCATCAAGCGCGCGATTATTCAAATTCACCTGGGCGGCGCGTACGCGACGTCGTCCCGCGTCGCGGTAAGGTTAATTCTCGCGTCAGCGGGAATAAAGCCGGGTACACGACTCGTGCTTAAAATTATCCGTTCTCCCATCCCCCATCACAATACACCTTAATGGAATGTGGCTTTCGAACGGCGGAACGGGGCTCCTCGTATCCCGTAATTACCGTCGTTTCGACGGTTAAACCAACCTGCAGCAGCCCCACTTTTTTCCCCTTCCGGGCCTGTTCGAAAGTTTCTTGTTGGCCGGATAGTTACGTTACGCCGCTAGTTAGTTTAATTAAAGCTTCCAACGCCGACTCTGCGCCTTTGGAACGAGCGTGTATATCCCGTCGTGAAATTGCCATAGATAGCGCGACGAATGCACGGATTTAAAGTCTCGGTCTTAGCCGTTCCTTCTCCATGCCCATCGATTCCAACCGGAGATCAGATAGCTGCGTTATGCTCGGCTACACGAGCCTCCCTCCGTCGAATTAACACGGAATAAGGGAATTGCAATGGAGAACGCGGCGTCCCGGCGCCGGGAAACTCACGGGGCAAGTTAGACGTCGGGCTAATGCCGTTCCAAGGCGCAAACTTTCTTGGCTCTTTGCTCTGTCTCGCTCCGTTACTAACCCGCGTCTGGCCGACTTTGTTGCGCATTAGTGCGCGTCCTCGGGACTGAGTTACACTTCCGAATGCAATTATTTTGCGCGGGTAAATGGGGAACACCCGGGTCTTAACGTCGTCGACGATTTTCGTGGGCGGTGCGAGCAATCTGAAGTGAATTATTTTAGATGACGCGGGTAGTGGAGAGATGAAGTTTAGAGGTTGCTCTCTCCCGTGGCGCGGGATTTGTGGGTGGCTGGGTTAGATAAGAGGATAAAATGATGCTTTTGTTATACTTTACGTGTACATGTATTAGACTTGTTATACGAGGTGTCCCATTTGAAGATTCACACGCAATTATCTCCTGGATTATTCGTTATTCCACAAAATTTGTCTAATAGAACTTAGTTTGTTTCGAGGGGTACATATTACGATGGTCACAAGTCTTATCTAGGTGGACGTGCCTCCGAGATTTCAAGGTGACTTTTGCTTTTTTAAATGAAAATATATATTTTCTTTTAGGTAGACGTGTAGCCCATTCCGTAACGAATTCATTGACCTAGAATATGTTCATCTTTGAAAGTTAAAAGAAAATGTTAAGAATTTGGTTTTACAGCCAGTTGCAAAGAAGGTTCAAGTCCCGCCTCATTTGTTTGCCAGATTCTGCCACTGTCTTGCAACCGATAATTGACATCGTCTTATAACGCTAATTTCAAGCTATGTTTTAGCTATGAATCCCCAATATTTATACGGCCAATGTTCACCTCCGGCGCAAGTAACAAACGCGGGGATTTACATAACGCTCGGGGAGAGATTTCTTTCGCGAATTCCAGTCGCGTTCCGCTAACGATGTTGTCGTTCGTTCCGGCGAAACCGACGGACAATATTTGGCCAGCGTTCTGCGTACAGATCCCGCGAAAGAAATCAAGAAACTCGGATGAAATAACTTGGACCGAGCCTCGGGCGACACAACCGAACACGCCGACGGAACTTGCGGACGCCCGGGCTAATGCCATTGTAAGAGACAAAGTTTACTTGCTTCCACCCCTCCCCCTACCCCGCCCCTCGACAAACATCGTCTTACTCCTCCCCAAGGCAACTCCTTGCGTCCACGAGACGTTCAAAACACACTGTTCCGTGGTACCTATCGTCTGACCACTCGAGGAAACGAATCCTTTTGGATCAGATATACAGTTCGCGTTAAAATACTGTGCTACGTGAAAGAGGGTGCAATGTTGTTTCAACGTGACTAACAAGGGAAGTTAGGTTAGTATCAGAACTTAACTTTATTGCAACTTGGCAGACGTGTAGAGAGCCTTGAGTTACTGTGTTGCATTAAATTTCGGTAGAAATTCATATTTAGGGTAGAAACACACCCCTTGAATACAGACAGGCGTAAATAACATTTAAAGCTCTTATTTGTTTTTAAACGTTTTTTATCACTTCACTTATATTTAAATAGTAATAACAAACGCAGGAGCAGACATATTTATAAATATTATCGTACCTATCCCCTAAAAATCACTACAAAGAATTTCTAAAATTAATAATTTTTTTACGATTTTTAGAGGGTAGGTAGAATAATTTTAGTAATAATTTCTGCTGTTGAGTACATTAATCAACCCTTAGGTCTGACAAACATGAAGAAGTGTGATCTTCATTCTTTAATGGTTTAATGTGTTTGTAATTGCTGTGAATTCCATGGAACTGCGCATGTTATATAAATATGTCGAACGTAAGTACGAGACGAGGTCTAACAGTTAACGAAGGAAAAAAATATTTTATTCTACAGAGATTTTGCGATGGATCTCGATCGAAGTAATTTCATTGTCTACACGAATTTTTATGTATTTTACCCATAACCTCAAGTCACATTTAAAAATTTTCGAAATCTCCTTCACATCTCTTTTAATGATCTTGGTTCAATTTTGTTCTTCGAGAATTCTACCGTCGTATAACCAATGGAATTTTCTGTTGATCTGCTCCAGGCACAACGATCTCCCGTGGAACATACGCAAGTTCCTGAAGAATCAGCTCAGGGAATTCCGGTTTGATGACCTGCGGGACACCCAGCCGTGGGCGAGGAGCGCGTGGAGCCACACGGACCTCAGAAGATTAAAGGAGGGCATGGTTGCAGCCCAGGTGAGCTCAATAATAACCGCAATAACGCGAGAACGGTCCGCGAGAAACATTAATCCAGAGTGAAACGCCCGGGCCGGGGCTATTTCACGAATCATAGAGGCCGAGATATATTTCCCGCAGCGTCGAGCAGACAGTGCCGAATTACTCGACGGCCGTAATTTCGAAGCTCTGGAAGCGACGTTCAGCTGCAAATTTTCTCGCGGAATATCGTTCCTGAAAGAAGGGCCCCCCCCCCCCGATGCCGCCATTTGCAACACTTTCCCCTGAAAGTCGTCCATTTTCCCGGGGCGATTTACGCCGCGACGAGAATTGCGAGTAATATTTTCTGCCTCCCTTTCCGCGAATCAATAAAATAGCGCGATACGAAAGATCGAACTATTTCGAAGGACTCTTCACTTTCCTTGAAAGACTCGCGACTTGGTGAGGGTTAATGGAGACTGTGAATCACCGTGTTGCGCTCACAAGGTATGTTCGTGAAGTGATACGGGCTGATTTGTCTGTAACTTTATACAATTTGTTTATGGGACCAACCTGAGTGTTTTGTCATTGGTTGATGCTATTTTTAGACTTTAAAGGGGAAACCACTCTTTCTATCCGAAGTGACCATTTTTCATATTCACTTCTCACTTGTAAACTATAAGAGATATGGCAAAAGAAGTTTGGATAAGTTTTCTATCGTTTCTAGTTATCCATATATCAGTAGGAAGCAGTATTCAGAATAATATTTTTGAAAAATTAAAAACAAATAATTTTTCTGCAAATTTTCTTCCGGCAAATAGTGTGTGATTGGTCTTTTTTATTTATTACTTATGTAGTGAGGAATCTTAGAGGAAGTAAAGAAGTGGGTGGAAAACAATGATCGATGGCAAAGTGAAAGTAGAAAAGATTGTGAAAAGATACATGGGAGTGAGAAGATATGAGGTAGAAAGTTCAAGGAAGAAGATTTGAGGAAAGAAGAAGTTGACGAAGAAGGTTTGAGGCTAGAAGGTTTGACGAAAAAGTTTCTAGCCAAAGGATGACCTCAGGGTTGTGCATCCAATACGAAAGAGTGGTTTTTAACTCTATCTTTCGTGTACTTCTAAATCCAAGATTGTTTAATTTCAACCAGCAATTAAACCCTAAGTGTCTCAAAGTGAATACCAAACAGTTAAACGTTCAATTTACGCAACCGTACACCTCGTCTTCCCAATCGAACTGTCAGTTAATTCCTTGAAACACGCGATTCCAGGGGCCATGAAATGGCAGAAAAAACAGAGCTCGGTACCCATCGACTCTCCCGTAAAAATTACCTTCACAGCTATTCAAACTTCCGGCAATCACGGCCGAACCGAAGCCGAGTTTAAACGGGAGCGAAACGTTAACGCGAGAATCGCGTGTCACCGGTGATCGCTTCGCGCCCCCGCGCACGCGTGATGTTTCAATTACGGCAAGGGGGCGTCGCGTCGCGGCCGTTTTTCAAGGTCGTAAAGTCCCGCGATTAATTAAGACCGAAACGATTCTCGACGCTCATTCCCTGGCAGCGACGACGGTGGCGGCCGATGATTAATTCGTGGCACGCGATCGCGCGAAAAAAATTGTCGGAGGGGGTGGGGGAATCGATTCAATTAACGAGAGGGTGGACGCGGCCGATCCAGCGACTCGAGGCGGCGGAGAAATCGCGGGGGCAACTTTGGTAATTAATTTCCCGCGGTTCCCCGAGATTACCGGGGCTGACGAAAATTTACCGCCGTGGTACCGTCCCCTCCCACCCCTTCCCTCGATATCCTTCGGATTAATCTCGGACCCTCCATTACGAGCCATCCTTTCGGCGTAACTTTTGCAGGCGGGGGGAAAAACTTGCACGACCCACACCCACGAATGTTCCCGGAACGGCCACCGACTCTGGGTGCCTTTTACCGGAAGCTGGGAAAAGAACAGCGATGCTAGGGGATGAAAAGGTTACGTGGTGAACCTCTTATATTAAATAGCTTCTTTATTCTTATCCCGCTAACTGCATTTGTTTACTATAGTAGACAGCTACACTCAACTCGTTTTTTACACGGAACATTGGTTCCTCAAAAAACATATAAAAAAAAGTTTCCTATAGTAAAATGTGTAAGATGAAATAGAGAACTATATGGCGAACCAGACTCCCAGAAAATTACGATCTCGGTTCACTCGACACTCGATTGCCACAGCATCGTGAGTACCGTCAAAGGTAGTCGAACGATCTTTATTTACCGGTTGAATATTCCGAAATAAACGGGCACTTGTATCGAAGAGATTCCCGCGATGGAACTCGAGCAAGCTCATTATAGAGATTAACATTTCCCGCGATCACCAGTCACCCCTATCTCCAGCTACCGGAGTGGCAGACACGGTCCGTGTTGAATATCGATTTTTGATTCGAGCGAAAACACGTCCACCGTCGATGTACTATAGCCCTGGTCTCGCGAAACGATTTTCGGCCCCGTAAATCCTCGAGCCATCGCGAAGGGGTGGAAAACACATTTTCGTTTTCGTGCCGACATCCTTTCACGGTGTTTAAAAGAAAGCCCGCCCCCTCGACTAGACGTGTCCGGGACGTCAGGAGAAAATTATTTTCGCTTCATAAATCCAATGAAAGCGTCACTGTAAGAGCTCTTCGAACCGCGGCGTTGGCATCGTTTCCGTACACACACGCGCGTGAGCAACGACACGCGGCACAAAAGTAGATTATAATTTCAACGGTGTGTATTAAAGCCCCGGGTGCTTCGCTTCGAATACACGGCGCCCCCGGTCGCTGGACCCGTCCACCAGCTTCTAAGGAAAGTTGCTGCCTGGGAAATTGCTTTCACGGGTGAAATTCACGGACATCCCTCGCGCGCGCGATCCTGCTCACTCGTGTAATACCGGTCCGCGAGTATTTGGACGCGCTCGCTGGAATCTGATCAGAGAACCCCGGGGGATATTTATGGAAATGTGGAGTTTTTTCTTTTGTACGGTAATTTATTTAAACTGGAATCGAATGGAAATTTGTCGAGTGTTGATATTGGGAGTTTTGTCAGGCTGTAAATGAAATAGAAGTCTCGTTCCAAAAAAATGTTCAACATCGATTAAAACGAGACCAAAATCTAATATGAAGAAATTGTATTTACATTCAGTTATTGTAGTAGGATTTTACACGTTATTCAATTTCATACATTTTTATTAGTTGAAGTATGATCATTTACATTGCAGGACAAAAAAAAACGTATGTCCGTAGGATTACTATTAAAGATTTAAATTCTTGGAAGTAAATTTTTCAATTTGAATCTAATCTCTTAAAAAAATATTATTAATTGCAGTTTTTAATTGGCACAAATAACAGGGCAGAGTTCATTTTGTGCAAATATTTTGTATTAAAACCGTAAATAAAGTTTTATGGAGTTTATGTTTAAGCCTGACTAACAATTTCAAGCGTAAATATACAGAGAGGTTTTAGCCGGACTTCCATTTTAATCCATCGTCTGTTTTAATTTATCTGCAATATTTTTAAGTGGCTTTACTGGTAAAACAAATAGAGCTTCGTGAAAAGTACAGAGCACAAACATGCCAATCGTGACTATTGTTAATAATAACACATGGTATCCATAATTGTCCGAAATATATGCCCGATACCATACAGGGTGCCTATAAAAGTTACATTCAAACGTGCATAAGATAATTCTTCGTAAAAAAATAAGTCGAAAATATAGTATAACATTTTTTCATATGAGACTTCGTTTTCGAGAAAATCAATATTGAACATTAATTTTGGTAGTCAGTAGAAACAGAATTAAACGAGCAGACGTGCTACCCAAGTCCTATTCAATTGTACGCGTGTCCAGCAGATTTTCAAATGTGATTTTCTCGAAAACGAAGCCATAAATGAAAAAATTTTTACTGTATATTGTTTTTTACCTTTTTATGATAAATCATCTCATGCCCGCATGTACGTAATTTTAGCTTGAACAAAAGTTCTTTCACGTTGTCTGCCACGTTTTTCAATTTACCAAAAACAAATTCCAATGCAAATTTCTCAAGAATTGCCTAAAAGGTTAGTCTAAGAAACTGGAATATCGTTGTCCAAGTGTATTACTGTGAAAGGGAATTAAATTGAGAAACAGAAATATTTCGATAACTATGTAAGTTGTCTCTCCACTCCGGTCCCAGAACTATTCAAACGACCCACGTACCATCGGTGCAGACCGTTCTGGACTGGAATACTTTTGACGCCGCTGACTGAGACCAGGGGAAGGCGGACCAAAGCCGGTCTCCTTGAAATTCGGTTGAATGCCGAATTTGATGGAGCGCGCCCGTATACAGCTACTATTTCATTCAGTCACGAGACTTGGCACGCGCTGAATAACCGATGCGACCCGATGAAACGACATTAGTTATATCGGTTATAGAAGTCCTGCGAAACGGGGTTGCAAATCCATGCTCCGGCGCGATATTAAAACTTGCGCGAGGTGTCGACAACCCATTGGTAGATTTTTTCAGTCTGGACGTGACACGATTTCAATTTACCCGAATGATGAAGTGCGTAGAGTGTTGAGCCTAGCAGGAGGTTGTCGCGTGTGAAGCGACACGGCTCATAGATTGGTACGTCTATTCTTGCCTTTATTTAATATTAGAATCATAAGTCTTTGCCTATTTCGCAATAGCGAGCATTTTATATCAGTATCATTGTTCGTTTATCGTGTGTGCATCTCAGTCAATAATTTTATTCTGTGCAGTTGCTGTTATGATTTATTAGGTTGAGTCAGAAGTTTTTGCCCACCATCATCCGTTACTTTGTTACAGCCATATCGTTCATCGCTCATATATGTACGTGTATTTCAATATACGATACATATGTTCTTTACTAAATAAATCGGAATAATCTGTTTATCAATACACGTTACACTTAACTTGGCCAAGAACTTATGTCTCAGCCTAGTAGAATAGGAGAAGAATATTTCTTTTGAATGTCAAGGAAAAAGTGTACATATTCAGTTGAATATCCTGCAGCATCGTTT